ACATTGCATGTTACCAATAATTGATAGTGAAACTACCAATCACTCTTCTTAAACGTAGAAAAAACCTGTGCGTGGACACTGGAATTTGCTGAGGCTCAAAGGTTTGTTACCACAGCTGCTCTCTAACAGGTTTTCTTGTAAAGAACGACTCGCTTGGCCTGGCCCTCAGCATGGTCTGACACTATCTGTGGGGGGTTTCTAGACTAAGCAGGAAGACCTGTCCAATTCTGTTAGTGCTCATTGCTGTTCTGCTTAACTTTTGGTAGAAGCTTGCTGTTAGTGAGGCTGCAAGGTAGATGGTGGGTTGCTTATGGGTATGCATCATGAACCCTGTGTTAGGCTGCCTCTGGTTGGACTCTTTTCCAGGCCCCTGAGATCGTGTTTTTAAGGCTGTTGTAGCCCTGAACCTTCAGTTCACATGCAGGTGGGGTTTTTGACAGGATGATACCTGTTCTGGTCACCGTCTTTGATATGTGCTGTATACAGCTGGCTGAAGGGCTCCTGAGTGTGGTTTGAGGGACACATCAACATTAATAATTAACAATAATTGAAACTAATTTCAAAAATGAGACTGCAGTTTTCACACTCATGTCACGAGTGTAAATGTTTACATGTTATGTAAGATTATGTGTAAATGTTTACAAGTAATGTAAGATCTGATGTGCTTTTCCTTGTTTCTCTGAACTTTGCTGAATGTACAGTTTTTGGCATATAGAAGATGCAGATCCAGCAAGTTAATAGTCGTGTGAAACTTGGTCAGTATGTCTTACCCCGAGATGCTAGTAATTCTAATGTGTGCTTAGATATGTGAACATGATCTACAAGCAGAAATGTGCAATATGTGAAATTCTGAAGTAAATCAGAAGTAAATCTGCTGAATTCAGTACGATATATAAAAATGAGCATGAGAGATTAGATCCTAGATAGGATTGGGATTTTAATTATGCTCTGTATGTCAATTAAAACCTGAGTGTTAAAAAGGATTATTGAGTAATATTTCTGTAGTCAGTAAGTTTACTTCCTGAGTAGTATAAATCTGCAATCACTGTAGTAAATTAATTTAACAAAAAAAGTAAAGAATAAACCCTAAGTGTGGGTTCAGCCCAGTTTTAACTTGCTCCTGCCACCTTGGAAAGAGTTACTAGAACTGTTCTTAACTCTTATTTATTTGAATTTTTAGCTATGATTTATTTGGGTATAGTAGTATCTAGATTATGTTTTTCTTGTTGTTGTTGAGCTCATGCAATAGTTCTAAATTCAGATTAAAAAAGTTATTTGGAGACACTCCTACCAAAGTCATTCATGTTTTACCTGTGTAATCGATTTTACCAGGCTTACAGGAACAACCACATGCACTAGTGCTAAGCTAATATACATAATGTATTTATATTTCTTAAGGGAGATACAGTTGACTACAGCAGCAGTTAGCAGTTCAAATATTCTGCATTTAAGTAGTTCCATCTGCCATGGTTGCAGGATACTCTGTATGCATGTTCTATCAATCTGTTCTAGGTGGTGTCAAATGGCCTTGAGAATTTGTTGTATTCTGATGTCTTTCAAATGCAAAGCACAATTTGCATAGAATGCAATCCATTTATGACTCAGCTATCCTCAGACAGATGAGCTGTGCATTGCAGGCACTGGCTTATTTGTCATGGTCGTTAAAATGTTGAATTCCGTTCAGTTTTAATGTAGTGAAGTGAAAATCATCAGAGACGGGAGCTTTTACGTTAGCGTACCAGTCTTACAGTGAAGCACCTTCCAGGATACCAAGTCCCATTTGGGATCTCCTTGGCTTTCCTTTATTTAGAGGCAGGAAGGTTGTAAGTCCTGATCTACATATTTCTATTTATACCTGGTATACTTAAAAATGTAATATTAAATCACTGCAGTATCAGCTACATCCTGTCTCTTTCACTCTCCCCTGCTCCCTTCCTCATATCATCAATAAAAGAAAACACATGTAATCCTTTGGCTTTCCTGCCACCATAGTCATGGTCTGGCAGATGCTTTTTGAACAGAGGGTAGATTTATAGTACTAGCAGTTGCTGACTCCTCTGAAGTCAGGCTTATAATGATCTTCCCAATGACCTCCGGTTTTGTTGACAGTTAGCAGGTTTTTCCCTTTCCTTGATGTTTTAAATTTGTCCAACTCTCTGCTCATCTAATCGTTGGTCCCTGTTGTCCTTCCGTGGTGGCATTAACTTTTTCAGACTTACTGCTGTAGTTTTTATCTTTTTTTTTTTTTTTTTTTTCTGTTCACGTTTAGAGCAGTGGTGGTCATGCCAAGCCAACATCATCTTTTCCATGTTACAAATATTGCCTTCTCCAAGTATTGTGCAATGGAAACTTGATATGAGGGGAAGAAGGGGGAGAGAGAAAAGGAAAAGACAGAGTGTTGTGAAGAAATCAGTCTCTGAGAATAATGTCGTCTTTGAAACAGACAGAAAAGTCTTTTTCTCTGGAGAGAAACTTAGGGCCAAGTTTTACTCTGGACAGCACTAGTGATTTTACTGAAATGGACACAAATGTGAGTGAAGGGCAGCTTAGCTTAGTGGAGGAGGGGGCTGGTGTGAATCAGAATTGTGTCTGCTGAAGTCTCTGGAATATACAGATGTAAGGAATCTAAAATTAGATCAAAGACAGCTTTGGGTGTGTTTCATGCAGTACATATGTGAATTTGAAGACAAATGCCAAGGGGATGGTCAGATATACCCTTTTTTGCCATTGGGAATAATACTACTAGCCAAATATAACCCTTGGGGAAGATTCTACAGCCCACGTTTGTGACTTCAGCTTCCCAGCGTTTATAATGGCTCTTTTTCCAAAATGGAATCCTGAAGTCCATTTAACTCTGAAATGAATGAGATAATCACAATCCAGTTAACTCTTCAGATACCTGAAGAAAAGATGATAAAAAGGGAGCAAGTACACCTGGTACAGTTTGCAATAATGAATGTTTTCATAGGTGGTTACGATGTACACATCATACGCTTTACTTTGCACTTTCTGTGGAACAACCAACACAGAGAAAGGCTGTTTTCAGAGAACTCGCAGAAAATGTGGTTTATGTTAACCACAATGCAAAACCAATTAAGGGGGTGTTGCAGAAACCTGCTTTTCGTATGGCTTATTCGTACATTTCCTTAAAAGTTACAGACCTGCTCCACGCAGTCTTCAGTCTAGTAAAATTCCCTATGATATGAAGTTTTTGGTTTAGATGATGTTTTTTTTTTTTTTTTTTTTAAGACCAGCTCAGATTTTTTTTTTTGGTGATTTTTTATGTTTTATTCTCTACTGAAGAATCATAGAAATTACAAAATCAAGATAATGATGAAAAAGCACAAAGATGATAAACGTGTAAGGAGAATCTTGCACAGAAAAGCTCATTAGTCGCTTTCCTTTAAGCCGGTTGGATTATATGCAGCTGGGCACCATGTACTCTGTCAGTAGAAAGATTTGTCTTGCATCATACTGAGATGTACTTTATGTATCTCATGATTTACGCATATCTGAAATTGAAATGTCTGGAGAAATGCTTTTCCCTATGTATACAGCATATGACCTGGTTTTGGTGAGGCTAAAGGATTTCTGCCTCTAGAACTCGAGGTGTTTCTGTCTGACACTGCCATTTCTCGGAAGCCTGATGGGAGGCTAGCCCATTGCAACTAGAGCAAAATGAAAAACCCGGTTTTCGCCCCTGCTGAGATCTCTGTACCTGCAAAAGGCTGCCCTAAAGAGAGAGCTTGGGACTTAACCTAGAACAACACTGATTTATAGTCCATTGTATTATTTGTACGGTTTATGCTGAGTACCTGGCAGGATTCAGCGATATGTGAAGATCTGGTTGTCCCCTGTGTACTCAGAACAGAAATTCAATAACCAGAGTGTTTCTTCACTTTGTATCTTCAACACCTAAGCTAAGTTCCTTCTCACTTATCCTTGGATCCCACATTATTTCTCAAAAGACCATTAAGATTAGTGCCTATTATTTGTTAATCCATGGACTTAGCATTTTTATTGCCTATTGATTTTCAGTCTTTGTTTTCAATTTAATTTAATAAAAAATGTTTACTTTGTTCCTTAAGCAATACTGAATTAGGGACCACAGAAAAAAAGTAGAATGAGAGTGAAATGACTACAATTGTTTGATTCAAAATAAAGGTGCCTCTAGACCATCAAAATTTTAGTGAGGCAATGTGCAGTACTGTAATACTAACTTTTAATTAATTCATTTCAATGTTGTTTTCCATACAGTTATTTTGTAATTTTAGTGGAATAAAGGAGGAATTGCACCTTATATAAAAGTTTCTATATTAAGAACTTCAAAGAAGAAAATCTTTTATACAAGTTGTTTTCCATACATATCTCTGATTATTTATTTGATGTCAGCGAGCTTGCAACTTTTATAACATCATATGTTACAGTAGCTGCTAACCAATAGTTCTAATAAAAATACAGATGGCTTGGTTGCCATCTGCACTTCTTTTGAGATTCTGCGATGAATATGTGATTAACCTTCTGTCACCACTTTTCAAAATAAGTTTTTTCTCTACCACAAGCTTTCCTTGTACCCCTACTTCCTCCCTCCACCTCTTCCCCTGCTTGGAAATGTGCTAACAAACCTGAGGTTTTTATAGGCATCTTACTTGTCTTTATGCTTTAAGCTTTTGTAGAGGATAAAGGAAGGTACGTTGGAATTTTATGTTTCTGTACCTTTCGCATTACAAAAAACAGACTCCCAAAATGGCTGGGTTTGAAAGACTGCAACAGATAATTAATTCATAAGTGGGTGTTGAAGTGGAAACTGTCAGGCCACAGCTTTCCCAGCTTTCACTTAATCATTTGAAAGTCGTTTTCTGTTGTTTTCACTGACTGTAATCCCTTAGAGAGAATATAAAACTTGCACCATCCAGCATGGAATTCCACTCCTTTAATGACTTGGGCTCTGTGTTGACTCACTTTCACTCACTTTCACTCACTGTTGTCATTTCATACAGGAAAAGCCGTACCAATGTTCAGAGTGTAACAAGGCTTTCAGTCAAAAGCGAGGCCTAGATGAGCACATGAGAACCCACACCGGAGAGAAGCCGTTTCAGTGTGATGTGAGTTGATCTATCCCTTTGTCTTCTTGACTTCAGTGCAGCAGCAGGACCTAATTGCAGTGAGACTACGGCCTTGCACCTATTGGCTGTGGCATGAAGTTATACTTCATATGGTCTTTGATTGTCAAACTAATGAAAGACCATTCAGGGAACTTTCTGTACCCTCTTCAGTTGCCCGGAGTGTTGCACACTTTTTTATTTTATGGTTTTGGATCCCTTAAGAGTTATTTTCACCATTATTAATGCAATTTGAATGGTGCAAATTACAAACTCATGCTGGTTGGGTTCCTGTATAAATTGTATGACAGTTTAATAGTTGGAGATTACCTTCTACAGGAAAAGACATTTAATTTGTTAACATGGAATCTGAATGCTTCTGATATCGTTGAACGACACAAATACGAATTCAGAATTCCCCATTTCTGTTTAGTGAAATCTGGTCTGATATTTTCAACATCTGCTCATAGTTGTGGGGTGTTTTTTATATTGTTCGATGAAGAAATCATGGATGCTGTGTATGCTCGCAGCACTGAAATGCAGCCTATCATAGTACAGTTCAAGCAGATTTCATTCAGCATACCCCATCCTGTATACAACGTATCTCACAGCTTTTGGAAGGTAGGTGGGGAGGTTGAATGTCCAGATACTGTTGGAAAAGAATGTCTTTCAGAATTACCAAGTGCCAGAATTTAAGTTGTTACTCGAGGATTTAGAGAAGGGCATCAGAATATGGTATAGAATTAGTATAGGCGCTTTGTTTTGCGACTAGTTCATTAAGAGCTAGTATCACAAGGGAACCACCAGCTTTCAGTTATATCCTAGATGGCTCAGTCTGAACAGTTGTAGATTTGTTCACAAATTTCTAAAATTAGATGCAAAATTAGAATAACCACTTGTCATGAAAGTCACAAGGGTCTGTTAATTGATCTGGTTACATTTCATTGAGAATAAAATGTATTGATTTAGTGAAAAGTTTCAGCTACAATATTTTGCTGATGTCTACAAGTCAGGAGATTTGCTGTATTCTTTTGGGATAATTTCAGCCTGGCTCTAGACGGTACCCTGAGGATTTCTCTAACTCCAAATAATTGTCAATAACTTTGTCAGCTTTCAGATTGCTATACTGTTTATCAGATGTTGGCTATCGTGCAGTGTAAATGCGATTTTTCCCACACTGTGGATCCAGGATTTGCTGGTCTTGGATTCAGTGTGCTTTTTTCAGACCAATTTGGAGTGGTGGTTATATTTTATTCTTTTTTCTTTCTTTAATTGAAAGTAGGAGCTGTATAAAAAGACATTTTCCTGTTTCAACTATTCCTTCAGTTTTCCTCATTAATTTGATAGAACTGTATTTTCCTAAATCATGGTATTTCTAGAAACAGCTGTAATCTGTCTGATCCTAGTCCTTCTCTGAACATTTTTATGTACCTTCATGTACTGGAAACTTTTTTATACTTTAAGTTATTGCCTTGTTTCACCAAAGTTATTCTTCAGCACTAGTCTTTTGCCAGTGGCACGTTGCAGAGATTGCTGACTTTTCAGGGTTTGGACATAAATAGCAGTTGCCTCTATTACTCATTCATACACTTTTCAGTTGCCCAGGTCTTCTGCTTAATGCACACTTGGAGAGCGTTGAAAGTTTTGTTTTCGATATTTACTCCTTATTTCATCTAGACACCACTTCTGCAGATGCTGAGGACATAGTAAATGTCACCCAGAGCAGACCATTCCTCCAGACCTGTCTCGCACATTGCGTGTTACCAGATGTTTCAGCAGAAGTTACAGGAAAACCAGTAGTGGACAGTTACAGAAAAATGTACCTATGGGAGACATTTATTGTTGGCTCCCCAATACTAAAGACTGCTTTTTACACTCAAATATTCTCACCTAAAGTTTTTTATCCTGCTAAAGATAGCTGTAGATGTTCTCATTATTTTTGTTATAATGACTTGAGTGGTAATTTATGGAAAGAACTTCCACAAATTCTTAACTGTGGAAAGAGATTTTGGGGACGGGAGAGTGTGTCAGGTTACTGCAATGGAATTTCAATAACTGTCTTTTAGCTTTTTCATTAGCAGAAAGGGTTAATAGCTATTCCACTTATTGCTTTCTGTACACATGCCATGTTCCTTCTTAGTCAACTTCTCTGAAGTTGTTTCTCTTTCCAACACTTTGCTATTTTCTGGATTTTTTTTTCCCCTGCTTCCACTGCGTGTTTTAAGGGGTGAAGGCATACTATTGGCATGCCCTTTCTCATTAAAGTATTTGGAAAAGTCCATGAGTCCAATGCCCAAACCTACTAAGAATCTTTTAAAGGTGAAAACGAGGCTATTTTTTCAATTATCAGCATATTCATAAATGTAATCATATATGAAGCCACACTGAAAGACAAAAGTTTTAAGATGACTGAGTGTTTTGGTCTTGTTTCCTACCCAGCATTAGAAGCAGTACTAAATAACATATTAACATTTGCTGTCAGAATTTTCTTTGTTCCTTAGTACAAGTAGCATTTACAAACAGGAATTACCTTCAGTGCCAAAGAACTGAAGAAAGAAAACTTTTGGCTATTAAAAAAAAAGTGTATTTTATGGACTCAAGAATAAGCTTTACTTGATAATACACATCTCCCCACCCAATATAAACTATTATACAAATTTTTTTTTAGACTGCATTTTTGCTTTAAATAGAATTTTCTTCCAGAATCAGAAATAAAAGCCATTTCTTCTCTTCCTCGCTCATTCTCCTCTCTCTCAGGCATATGGAACAGACATCACAATATGGGATTGTGCTACATGTAAAAGTAATCCTTGTACCCTGTTTGATGAAGGTGCTATAGTGTACTAATGTGTCTTACCAGTCAGCAAAAGATTTTCAGAACTTAATAACTCAAAGCTGTCTCATCCCACTGATAGCAGTGGAATGAATATTCCCATTTAAAGGTGAAAATTCCAATTTTTATCCTATAGGATAGTGAAAATAACTGAAATATGGAAATAAAAAATGTGGTTTTTTTCCCTAGTATTAGATTTCTGTCCTCTGAAGAGCAGCCTGTTTTTTACTGGAAGGCCAATTGAACTTCATTTGCCTCAGAGACAACAGATTATTCTTTGGGGGCAGCAAGGTCAGGTACTGCCTGTCCTGGTTTCTTTCCAGTACAGTATTTCCCTCCAGTCTGCCTCTAGCTGACCCTGTGCATACTTTCAAATGTCAGTCTTTTCCATCCTCCCTACTTGATCAAAACTTTGATCATTTTGAAGAGATTGATTAGAGTTCAAGTGCACATTAGCAAGCATGGCTGTAAATCTAAAAAATGTCAGTCTTGCTTATAAATTTGAAATATGAAGCAAACTCTTAAAAAAACCCCAATAACTTTTATGCTTAAGCACAGCACAAGGTGTATCATATCTTTAAGTAATCATCCTGTGCATTCCATGTTCTTTTGAAGGAGTTAGGTAGTAGAACATGCTAGAGCCTTGAAGGAACAGCCGGACACATTATGCTAGTTGTTACATGACTGTTATAAATGAAAAAAAACCCCAAGTACTTTAAGACTGTGTTATAAGCTGTTTACTTTAAAAATGAAGAGTCTTTGTAAGATACACAGAACACATATGTATCTTGTATGTGTGCATATCCTTGATTGGCTTCCAAGAAACATGTTGTGTTTACAAGTGTGTGATACTTTTAATGTGTTGAGACTTGTGAGCAAGCATGATGGTTATGATTAGGTGAATGTTATGGGTTCGCTTTGTGTGTTCTGTGGAAGAGGAATAGAAAATAGTACTTGGCAAAAGCAGTGTTAAGACCTGACCAGTGGATGCCATAAGTGACGTTCACTGTTGCATAACAAAAGGGTGACTGTTGCTTGGGTCTGAAAGAGGTAATTATACATTTAGGGAAAAAAGTTGGAGAGTTACAGTTGCTATATAAAAGTCTTCGGTATTACGTCATGTCATAAATTCAAAAATGTTCCATTGCAACAGCACATACAGTGTTCTTGTCTGGGGAAAAATTATCTTGGGTACAAAACTTGCCTCTGGCAGTTGCTCTTTTTATGGTCATTGTATGATTTTTGCTTTAATTGGCATAAAATACATATACTGCAGGTCAAGATTATATAGGTGGATAGTCAGTTCTATTTGCCTTCGACCAGCTCTGGTTTTGAAGGAGTCAGTAATCATTCAGCATTTTCATTACTAGTTTGATACCAATATGAATTTAAAACTTTATTTTCCTTAAGAGGGATTGTGCTGGGTTCACAGAATTTCCTCTGCATTGAAGACATTTTTGTCTGGAATGAACCTGGAATTGTAAGATTGCAAGCCTATGGATGTTCATTCTTATTTAATTATATGACTCTTGCCTATTTCATTTCTCAGATCAGGAGCATGCTTTTTATATATATATATATATATATATATATACACATATATGTATTTTTCTTTTCTCTTGGGAAAGTCACACATACAATATGTACCTGGATGGAAGGTGAATGTGACAATATAACTGCACGTTTTTATTTGACTTGATAACTTGCCTGCAGATTCTTAACTTCATTCTAACTTCTCGTGGCTGAACTTGTTTTTAATGTTTCGTTTTGACTTCACTACAGGAATTTTTATAAGAAGTGATGGGTTTAGCATGGCAGAGTTCCCTCATCTCTCTATCCGTTTATTCAAATGGCAGAATGTACTGGACAGCTTGGAGTACAGCAGAGGAAGGGAAGCAGCATACGAGCTAATATAGCAAAGGAACTGCACCTTCGTTTGCCAGATATCTTCTGTTTTCTTGGCCAGGCAGAGGAAGACTGGAACAATGAGGTTTCCCGTATAATAATTATTAACATTTCTTGTAGTCTTCAGAGCCTCTTTTTTCTCACTCCTCCCTCCTTGTAGCAGAGCAATTTGAACTGATTTTTTTAGGAACGCACAGATGCCATTCTGGAGTCAGGAAGGAAATATATCATTTAATGTCAAATTGACAGAGGCTTGTGATGTTTTACCACAATTTTTGCTGCATTCCAGATAGAATAATAGGTTTAAAACGAAACCCACAATGCAATGTAACCTCATTGTGTTGATATTTTGAAGATTAGGTCTTTTCTCCCCACCTCCGCTGTGTCTGTGGTACCACTGTTAATATACGACATTGAAAAATACCAGACAGAGTAATAATCTTTAAGGTGCTCTCTGAAGGAGTTATGCTTCCAAAGACCAGCTCATTTATTAAGTATTGCAGGTATGTGTGGCTGTGGCCTCAGTGATGTAGCATAAGGAGCATTATGCATGCTTGAAGTTTTAAGACTTCTTTTATCTTGTCTTCACTGCCGTAGGTCTGTGATCTGTCCTTCAGCCTGAAGAAAATGCTGATCCGACACAAGCTGACTCACAACCCCAATCGACCGATGGCGGAATGCCAGCTTTGCCACAAGAAGTTTACAAGAAATGACTACCTCAAAGTGCACATGGAAAATGTCCATGGTGAAACTGACAGTTAATTATGGCGTGTATGAGAAGAGTGGATCTCGCGTTCCAAAGCGCTCCATTTGTACATGTACAAACTCCAGACTTCTCACCTGACTAGTAAGGATAGTGAGGAGAAGCAACTGTAATGTGTTCATATGTTATTTTTCCCACTTTTTTTTATGTACTAGTAGGATAAAAACCAAAGAAAGACATTCACCTGAGGTAAAACATAGCTTGAAAATAAAAAGGTGAAGGTAAAAGAACTGTGGGAAATTTTTATTCTCATTTAAAAAAAAAAAAAAAAAAAGCTTTATGCAAACTTCACCACCTCAGTTACAGCCTTAGAAACTTAGATATTAGTAGCATTATCTGGAAATCCTGGACATTTGGAACTGAACCCTTGGCTGTCTACAACTGTATTTCTGTATCTAAGCTTCAAGACTCCATTAAAATTATTTCATTTGAAACCACACAGAATTTGTTGTTCTAATTGACTGCTGATTGCATCCAGGCATATTTTATTCAGATTTTATTTCTGCATTTTGTTGTAACATGATTTTGTCTGATTTTATTTACAGCTTTCTCATTACTAGATGAAACTCATTAACTTGAATTGGTTCTTGAGATGCCAAAATGTATGGTTACAGAAACTGTGGAAATCTGTCACGTTAAGTATTTCTGTATGAGCATTGAGCAGGATGTATTTCTTCTGACAAGACTGAAGTGAAAACTTTGAGCAATTTAGTTTAAGCACTATATTCATACTCATCATTGTGACTGGCAAGGCAAATGGAAAGACATCTTAAGAGAGTGGCTTGAGCAGCTACAGTTGCCTAGTTAAGATGTATTTGATTTCCTGGTAAACAGCTGGTTCCCAGAG